ATGACCTATGCTGGCATAGAGATGTGGAAGTAAAACTCTGTTGATACCATTGAACCTCTCTGTAGATTTCAGTGTGATCAACCATGGTATCCTCATGAGGCAGTTGTTTGAGTTAGAAGTGGGAGGCACTGCATTATAGTGGTTCTGCTCTCACTTGCCCATTTATTTTTGTGAACAGGAGTGATGATACATGTTGAATTGTTAGTTTGGATTGCATTTCTGAGACAGTGAAGTTCATGGTAGGCATGTCATGAGTGGAGCCAGGGGTCAGACTAGATGGCCTAGAAGACCCCATTTGAGTCACAGTTTCTATATTCTATGTTACTGAAACCTCTTTCACATTCCAAGGTACTGCTTCAGACTACTTTGCTGCATTGTATCAAAGAATTTAAGCCAAGTGGAGGCTGCTGGCCATTGTTATCCAAGTAGTCTCTGAAAGCTGAGAATGCAGAATTAACTGATCATTTGAAATATTTGCATAGTGATGACCCTTCTATTCCAAATCTTGGCTGGAATTCTGTTGACCATCATGCTCTTTACAATGTTAAGGATGCATCCTTCAACTGAGGACTTTGTTGGATTCACTGTAAGTAGGCACTGTTTCATGTTATTCACTATGCTGTTTATGAACTGACCATGATTAATGGACACTATTTTCTGATTGTTAGTATGACAGAACCAAATTTATTTTTGAAGACTGCAGATTGTGCTTCTAAAATGGTCTTCCCTTTTTTCTCTACCAAAGTCTTTAGGATTCTAATAAATCGTCAAATATGTCTGTCTGCTTTCACCCCTGTAATGGTTCTTCTCTGTGGATAACCTGAAAGGATTGTCAGTTCATTCAAAGCATCATGCAAAAGGGCTAGATCAAGCAACAATTGTTTGGAAAACAAACTGTTTTACAGACAATTTTAAGATCTCAGTTTGCAATCAACTCCTGTCCTTGCTAGCAGACTTTAAGTATAAACACAAAGAACAGTAATTTTTCCAAACTGCTGCAATAGTCCTAAAGGAACTTGCAATCCATCTAACATCCAGGAACTTCCCAGTACTATTTATCTGCTCATCCAATTGCTTTGAACATTTTCTGAGCTATTTTGTGGTTACCTGCAATATAATGAATAAAGCTTGCCCATGAACGCATGGAAAAGATTCACACCATGGACTTCTTTGCCAACAGCCAGCTCTAACCTGTGATTCAGACAATGCCACACAATGATGTTGGGATATATTTCATGGTTCTGTGCAATTCCCAGTTTCCTTCCTAGTATCTCCACAGCTAGGTGTCCAATGGTGGGAAGATCATGTGCCAGTTTTAAGTCAGCTAATCTAAGGGGTTCAGGTATCACCAACTGCCTCAGCTCTACTTATCCTTCCTGTGCAGACAAAACTCAATACAAGAAACCCAGTGCAACCTCATATTAAGAATCATGTCTTACACTCACTTCTTTTTTCCAAGGGGTACTGGGCTTGTTTCAGTGCATGGACAAGGGAGGCATCATTTTGCTGAGGAAGACCAGCCACTTGTGGGAGGTACACAGAGCTGCAAAGCCTATTTCAGCCTCCCCTGCCCAGAAGACCTCAGAGCCCACATGCCTTATGAGGTGTTCAAAGTGGGGCCAATCCAACCCAGTTATTAAGCCATAAGCTCAACTAGGGACAACCCCAACACAGCTGCATCCTTCCCCTTATTTCCACCTTGGCCCACCAGGTTGAGTAGGGTTTAACATTCCCATGGATACAATAACCTGCAGGACTTCAGCCAGTGGGCTTCCCTGAGCTTGCCTAACCAGAGTGCAACTGCTGCCTGTGTCTACTAAGGTCTCAATCTCCTTCCCATCCACCCTGGCCTGAACCCGCCAGGCTCACTGAAGTGAGGCACTCACTAGAGCTGACCACCAGGGTTCCACAAAGTTGCATTCCATTATAGGGCAATCTCACCAGAAATACTCCTCCTTGCCTTAAGTAAAACAGACGACTGGTCTTGGGTTCGATCCCCTTCTTTTCCATACCACAAGGCATAGGAGTGAATGATGCTCTTAAAGGGTGGCCCTTTGGAAACCCATACTCCATCCAGGAGTTGCTGGCTCTGTCACCCTTTCCCTGAGGTTTGGCTGCTGTGACCCACTGGTGCATTCTGTGTCTGCACTTCCTGCAAAGTTGCTCAATTCTGTTCCCCTCATCCAGTTCCCTGGCTGCCACAAAGGTTTCCATTAGCGCAATAGCATCCTCTAGTTTTGTGCTGGCAGGATTGTCAAACTGCTCCACCAAAACCAGCATGTGGACCCAGAAACCACATCTCTGGCACCATCATCATAGCTATCAACCTGTGTTTTTGATTTTCCTCCATAGAACTTAAAAGTCTGTTATGTAAAACCTTCCCGTCAGTGTTATTAGTTCCCACATGGGTAAGGAAAGGATATTTGTCAGTGGTTTGTATGAGATGCGTGAACATATAAATTATATCTTTAATCTTGGCTCCAGGGAGACAGGATACTTGGCAATTCTCTGGGTGGTCAGAACATGTATTTTTCCATCTCGTGAAACAGAGAATTTCCCACAAGAATCACTTGCCTCCTCTGTTGCTGCAAATGTTGGCATCTTTTTCCTTGATTGGCTTTTTGTATCTTTTTCAGTTATTCAGTGTGTCATACTGTTCTTCCACAGCAGGTTTCTCACTCATCTCTTCCTCAAGTAACTAAAAGTGGTTCAAGGGTTCCACTGCTTCCAGTGGTGGATTGTCTGCTAGTTCCTGTACATGTGTCACCCTGTTCGTTTCATTTTCCCTTCCCAAAGGATTCTCTTCTGTTGCCTCAGCTTGTTGATGTATTTCTTCCTTCAGGACTACACAAGTCCGCCACTGTCAAAAAACTTCATTTTATTACTTTGAGGGTCAACGCTTGCTGCTTCAGTGCTCTCACCTTTTCTTCTAACAGGCCTACTAGCTTGGACTTGTTACAGGTGAATGCCATATTACTCTCAGGTAAGAAAAAACATTGGTTTTTCAAGTCATCACCAGTGGGGAGTATTCTCAGTCCATTGTTCATGTAAACTTTGTGTTGGGGAGGTTCTGACAACTGGTGCTTTCTCCTGTCATCACTAAAGATTAACACTGTCCTACTAGTAAGTGGGAATGTGCTACAAGAAGGAAAACAAGCTTTGGCTGAGCACTAAGGGAAAAGAAGATAAAGAAGGGGGGTATGCTAGGGACCTCCCTTGCTGAATGCCAGTACCAAACTCCTGTTTTTTCTCCATTTGCTCACTCACTCCCTGGGAACTTGGTTGCTTGTATCCCAGAGGCCCTAGACCAGCTGAGGCAGCTTGCTCTGCTCAGAGTCAAGAACCAGAATGAATGACCTCACCCACATAACTACTGCTACCTAATCAGACCACTCTTCTTCAGCTAAGCAGCAATCAGCTAATCTGGAACTTCCTTCCATTATATCTTTGTTTCCTTTCAATACATTACCTGCAGGGATGTAGAGACTCTTCTCAGAAAAAACTGTATGAGTGGGGAAGTCAATGGCACTGTCACAGGTTCCAATCTTTATGTTTTTCATTACTTCCAGAGTACATCTTGCTCCCCAGTCCAAATCAACTCATTTAGCATAACACTAAAAAATAAATTAGATGCTTGAAAAAAACAGAAATGGGTATCTTTGGAAATGCTGGGAAAGGTGAGGAAAATAATTGGTCCTGCCTAGTATTGTGACAGTATTGGTCTATTTAGCCAAGTGTGGCAAGTACACTGCTTGACAATAACCATATAATTTCTCACAGAGTAGTGTTTTCCAACATAGCTCCTAGAATACTGTAACCAAAGACACTAAGAACTGAACCATATATCTGCATTTACATTTATAAAATCAACTGTTGACAAAGGTGGAAAAAATAAAGTCTGTGCCCTAGTTAAAATGGCTAGTACTCGTATTCTCTCTAGGCAATCCTAATGGCAGTGGGGGAACACTGTCAGTTTTATCTAGGCCTTCCCTACAGTTATAGTATGCTGTAGGTGAGGAACTGGGAGTGGTGCAACTAAGCTCCCCAGAATCCATCTTTTCAGTTTCCACACCTCTCATGCTTGGCCCTATCTAAGAAAGTGGGCTGAGCTGAGAAGTCCATCAACGCTTGCAGAGATCCAGTTCTACAACCAACAACCTTTTCCCTCATTACGTGTAGCACAAAGATTTCAAGAAACATGGGCAGAAGAGGGACACTGCTTGTGCATATTTGCTGGGTCCAGTTCCTGGTGGGTGCTCATGTGAATGCCCAAAGAACTTACCACTAAGTCAGACTCACAGTTGTGAGAAAGTACACCAGAGTCAAGGGAGCTGAGTCCAGGAATCCATGGATTCCCAGTCCCAAAATGGATCCTTCAAACATCCTTGCTGGAAGAATACCTTTAGTTGTTATACTATAGACCAGTGATGGCGAACAAAAGGCACGCAATCACCCCAGCAGCCAGGCGCTTATTTGGAAAGATTAAGGGTACCAGGCAATGACGTTGTCACTCATTAGCCACTACTCGCAGTTTTTGCATGGCCGGTCAGTGAGCTGCCAGGGATTTGCTTGGACTGTGGTTTTGGCAGAAGGTAGGAAAGGTAGGGAATATATTCAGGTAGGAAATACACTGAGATGCCTTTTTCAGGGCTGGCCAAAAGCTGGTAGTCAGTGGAACGTTGCCCCCTTGTGCTGGTGGTCAGCAAATTCCGGTTTTATTGTAGTGCTGGCCCTTTGCCATAAATAAGTGGGTTCTGAGGTGCAATTTGGCATTCAGTCTCTAAAAGGTTCCCCATCACTGCTATAGATCATAGGCTACTGTTCTATGTCTATTGACTGTAAATAGGACATAGACTAACTTGCACTATGGTGACATGCTTTCTCTTGGGCAGGAATATCATAAAGAAATATTTAGATAAATCTATGGTTTAATGTCAAAATACAGAAGTAGAGTAAAACTAGTATTTAAAATTTCTTAAGACAATACAAATCAAAACAGCTAAAAATCTCAGTTCTTAACCCCTTGCATCTTTAAACAAAGCATTACAAAATAGGTAAGAAAAGATATCTATAAAACAGCATAAAATGGGTGTCATTGAAAGAAATAAGCTGAACAAAGTTACAGAAACAAAAATATTTCTAAAGGCAGAGCATACTTTACAAGCCTAATTTCAAAATCTTAAGATACCCATTATATCTGTAAAGGAAAAAATACAAAACCCAGCACCAAAAATCATAATATTCATTTTCTGTTTCTTTTGCTTGCTCTTGTCTTGCCTTCTGTTTCTGCAGCAGGCCCAATGATAGCTGCGGTATGCTCTTTCATTTGTTTTCTTTTTCGCAATGTTGTATTTTCTGCGTTCTCTATTTGTTAAAAAAAAGAGATAATTACATGAAGCCACTTTTCTAATACATTTTTCTGTAATAAGAAGACCAGACAATAGAATTTTCTAATTATCTTTCTTTTACTCTCCTGTACAAAATGGTTTATTCCAAGCTTGCTATCCATACCTCCTCAGGTGTGCATGTTTTGACAAGAAGAAAAATCAGTCACAATTTCTTGATAGAAAAATCATGCTAAAAGAGCAGAAAGTAAGGTTACTTACCTGTAACTGATGTTGAGTGGCCGGCTGTGCATTCACACATACTGCTTCTATGTCTATGTGGTGCCTGAAGTCACAAGATCTTTCTAGCTAGTCTCAATTTCAGGTAGGTGCCTCACCCTTTTCTCCCTCTAGTATAAATAGGAAGGGCTTCCACCATTTTCCCCAATTCAAATAGATGGATGTTTTGGCCTCAGCTGGTCCAATTATACCACAATACACATAGCATGGACTTGTAGAAAGGATAGGGACAGACTGTTGACACAGATGTGCAGCTGGTGGATGGGTTGTGTGAATGCACATATGACCTCTTGAAGATCAGTTACACAACTAAACAATCTTATTTTCTTCTTCATGGTCTCTGTGCATCACACATATGGGCAATTAGCAAGCTTACCCCAGTAGAGGGGGGTGATGTTGTCATTGAACGAAAGGGGAGGGCTGCTTGGCTGAAGGAACAGTCCTGTCTGGCACAGACATTGAGCTAGTAATGTTTCATGAAGGTAGTGGGCATGGAGCATGTTGCTACTTGGCAAAGGTCCTGGAGCAGGACACCAGTGCATAGTGCTATGGAGGTTGCCATTGCTATGTTAGCGTGTGTTCTTGGTTGTTCCAGGAACTGTAGTCCAGCAAGTTGTTACATCATCTCAACAATCCATTGGGTGAGTAGCTGGGAACCAATGGGTTTGCCTCTGGACAGTTCACTTCTAGAAATGACAGAATTATCAGTATGGGACTAATAAAAGGCTAGAGCTCATCAAGCATTAAGGGTGTGTAGGCCTGATTCTATCCTGATTCTACAGGAGTGGACAGTGTTGGTTAAGAATGCTAGTAAGATGTTGTCTTGGTTTAGATGGAAATGGAAGGTGACCTTCAGCAGGAATACATGGCCTGGTTGGAGGATGGCATTGTTATTGTGAAAAATAAGGAACAAGTCTATGTGTTATAGTACACTTGTACTATAGTCATAGTACACTTGTTCTCCTGATCTAGCTGATCGCTACTAGAAAGGCCCCCTTCCAGGAGACAAGTTGCAAATCTATGCTGGCCAGGGGCTTGAATGTGGGCTTTGTCAGTGCCTGGGGAACTACAGATAGGATTCATCCTGGAATGGTAGATTGGATGGATGGGTTCAAGTTGTGCTGCCCTTTAAGGAGCCAACAGGACAAGGAGTGGAAAAAGGTAGCGAAACCACTGAACATTCTGTGAAATGATGAAATGGTTGCTTGGTAAACTTTAACGACTGATGGTTTTATCTTCAGTATGGAGTGAGTGTAGAAAAGTCAGGATTTGGTGGAAGTCTGGAACAGATCAAAGAGCTCATTTTGAGTGAAGACCCAGAAAGTGTTCCATTTGGAAGTGTATAAACACCTTATGTCAGGCTGTAGTGCTGCATCTAAACTAAACGGTGTTGTCCCTCCGTATTTTCACCAGCATGAGAAAGTGGTGATTAGAAGGAAAGATGGGAAGAGATAGGCAAATGTTCTGTAACATGGTTGAAAGCAAGCATGACTTATTGAAGCGCAACCAGAATGGGGACAAAAAGCATCTCATATTGTCAGCATTGCAAACAGGTCCAGGAATGGGATACCTCAGGATTCAAAGAGGCTGTATGGGATGTCAGGGTGAAGTTCTTATTTGCAAGTCTCTTGTAGCATTCTGCTTAGGTTTCTGCTGTAAAGTTGGCAGTTTCAGCAAGTTGGATGCCTACTATAGTGATGCGTCCAGTTAGATACCAGTCCCATACTTGCAGTGTGAAGTAATTCCGGGAAGCTGACAAGGTGGTGCCTTGTTTGTTGAGCTATAACACCACTGTAGTATAGTCTGATATGATCCAGTTATACTTTTTCTCAAAGATTTGTTGAAATGTAATTAGTGCTTTCTGGAACATGAGTTTGAGGTAACTGATTGTTTCTCAGTCCTGTTCAGTCCAGTCTTTGGGTCTTGCCCCCAATGCAGTGGGCTCTCCAGCCTGAGAGATGCATCTGTTTGTTATGATTAGGAATAGTTCCATAAGTGTAAAGGGGATAGTGTTCACTAGGTGGTGCTCGTTAGTCCACAAAGAGCTTGATCAGAGATGGGGAGCACCAGTTTTTTGCTCGTATCATGTTGAAGCTGATGGGTTCGGACAACTCAGAGCTGTAGAGATCACATCTGTAAACTGAACAATGATGACTGTGGAAGCTATGTGGTCAAGGTGTCATTGGATTTTTTGAATTGTTGTCCTGGGTTCAAAGTAGAGGTGAAGGGCTGGGGAGATAAGAATTGCTATTCAACCATCAGGAAGGTATGCTCAGGCCATCACTAGATCCAGGTGTGCTCCAACGTGCAGGATTGACTGGGAAGAGACAAAGAGGAATTTCTCACTGCTAATACAGAAAACTGGTATCTTATTGGTTAAAAAACTTACAAGTTTCTAAAAGAGTGCAAGAGATCATCCCAGGATGGAGCAACTAGAAGCCAGTCATCTAGATATGGGAAAACTTGAATACCTTAAAGACAGATAAGTTTGTAAACTAAGGTCATGCATTTCAGAGAACCATAGAATACCACAGAAGGATGCATGAAGACCACTGGGTCCAACACCCTGCTGATTGCAGGTCACGAATTTACTCCATCCCACTCAGATGGTTGTGCAGTTGCTTTCTAAATGTCACTAGCATGGGAGATCCTATGACCTCTTTAGGCAACTGGTCCCACTCCTGCATTGTTCTGACACTGAAGAAATGTTTCCTGCTATCTAAGCTGACTCCAGGTTGTCACCTCTTGGATGGATTTCTACACTCTGGGATCAACACGATCTTGTCCTCTACAGCCATGTAGAGTAATATGCCCCCCCTAAATCTTTTCCAAGGCCATTTTCTACACATAGTCAGTTTTCTCAGTCTCTCCTCACAGGAAAGTGTTTCCAAACCCTGGATCATTTCTGTAGTACTCCTCTGGACTCTAATTTTTCTACATATTAAATATTGGTGCCCACAAATAGACAAATAAAATGGGATGTCTGACAAGTGGAACATAAGGGAACTATTACTTCCTGTGATTTGGAAATAATACATCTTCCATTAATGCATCACAAAATAGCATTTGCAATTTTTGCAGATGCACTGGATCATTGCTTTGTATTTAGCCAGTTGTCCACAAAAACTCCAAGGTCTTTTTCAGTTTTGTTGAATCATGTATTCCCCATCTTGCATTTGATTTCTTTTTCCTGGATGGAGGACTTGGCATTTGTCCAACAGAATAGCATTCTTCTGCTTTCAACCCAGTGTTCAAGTTTATCAGGATCACCCTGGATCTTCATTCTGTTCACTATTTCGCTGAGTTTTTTATTGTTGGCAAATTTGATAAACTTTACTTGTATTTCCTCATCCAAATCATTAATAAAGATGTTGAAGAGCACTGGGCCTAACACTAAACCTAGTGGCACCCTACTAGATACCTTTCTCCAGTTGGAGGTGCCATTGATGAGCACTCTTTGTGTCCAGTTCAGCAGCCAATTTGGGATCCACCTAACAGTGTTTGTATCTAGTCCAGTTTTTGCTAATTTGCTTATGAGAATGCTGTGTGGCACTATGTCAAAAGCTTTTCTAAAATCAAGGAAGATCATGTCCACAGTGTTCCCTCTGTCCATTTGGGAGGTTACCCAGTCAAAAATTCAGATTAAATTGGTAGGATTTAGTTTTGAAAAATCCTTGTTGGTTTTTATTAATCACAGTTTCCTTCAAGGCACTTGCAAACTGATCTTTTAATGATTTGCTCCAGAATTTTACCAGGGATTGGTGTCAGACTAGTTGGGTTGTATTTCCCAGGTTCATCTCCCCCCCCTTTTTTTTTTTTTTTTTTTGAAGTTGGAGATGTTAGCCCTTCTCCACTCATCTGGTAGTTCTCCTGTTTTCCAGGATTTAGCAAAGTTAATAGCCAGTGATTCTGAGAGTTCTTCTGGTAGTTCTTTTATGACTCTGGGATGGAGAGTCTGCCTTTTCCTTGTCATCTGTTATTGCTTTCCTATCCATGATAAGTAGATAGACACCTTTCTCTTTCAATGTTATCTTTTGTTTCAGATGTATTGGAACACTTTCTTGTGGACCTTAGCATCCATTGCTAGTAACAGTTCATTGTGGTGTAGCACTGCTTCCACCTCCTGTGCATGTTATTTTATGCTTTTAGTTTATCACTTAACTTTGTGGAGACATGTGGGTTTCCTCAATTGTCTTTTACACATTTTTCTTGTTGGAATTGTACATAGTTGAGCTGGGAAATTATTTTTTTCCAGGATTTTCCACCCCTCTTGGACATCTTTCCCCTTATGTGAGTTGCCAAGGTATGTTGCTTATTGTTGTTTGTATTCATTAAAGTTGGCTTTCTTGAAGTCCAAGGTATGTGCTTCACTACAGTTAACCTTTATCTCCTGTATAAATGAGAATGCAAGTATTATATGGTCATTTACCCCACAGTTCCTGTGGCTGCTATTTTGTACACCAGGCCATCCCCGTTAGCATTAAATTGAGGATAAGTGTTCCTCTTGTTCCTTCTTTCATATTCTGCTGGATGAAGTTGTAGGCAATGCATGTCAGGAATCTCTTGGAGGGACCATGTTTAGCAGAAATTGTTTCCCAGTATATATCAGAGAAGTCCCCCATCTTTCTTCTTGGAAACTCTGGCAAATTGCTTTTCAAAGGTTGCATTCTTGTTTTCTTTTTGACTGGGTGGTCTGTGATAGACACCAATAACTATTGTTTTTCTTATTTTTCACTCCCTTTAAATTAAGCCAGATGCTTTCAGTGGGATTACTAAGTTCCTCTTCTTGTGTTTCTGTGCAGATATACATATCTTTTACATGGTGTAACCGAACCTCCCTTTTTGTCCTATTTTTCTTGAACAGGTTATATCCATCAATAGTAGAGTTCCACTCATGTGAGTCATCCCACCAAGGTTCAATTATACATGTAAGATTATAATTGCCATCATGTACTTTTATAAAGTTCAAGTTGTTGTGTTTTCCATACTCCAAGCACTGGGGTAGGGACATCGAAGTTCGTTCTTCCCGCACTCTGGTTTCCTTCCAATGTTTTTGGGAGACTGATGTTGGGCCCAACTCGTTTTTTTTTTCCTCTGCTGAAATAAATCTTTGTCAGATGATGATATACCGTGCTACACGTCTCCCTCCCCTATATGTTTCAGTCTAAAGTCCTCTTGATGAATTTTTTTCATGTACTGGCAAACACGTTTCTGTACTTTGTGAGATACAGTCCATCATTCGCCAATAGTCTGTCTTCCAGGAAACTTAGATTGTGGTACCAGAATCCACATCTCCCTTTATGGCACCACCATCATAGCCAGTTGTTCACTTGAAGGATTTCTCTTCCCTATCAGTTCCTCTTCCAAGTACTAGTAGGACTGGGGAGAAGAGTATCTGGACCCCAGTTTTTTTTTTCCTCCCTAGAGCTTCAAAGCTTGATGTTATTTTGTCAAGCCTTTCTCTGCCACTGTTGTTAGTTCCTACGCATATGAGAAGGGAGGGGTATTTGTCAGTGCGTGTATGAGATGCATGAACATATTGGTTATATCTTTAATCTTCACTTCAGGGAGACAGCATACTTGGAGATTCTCTCCGTTGTTACAACACGCATATTTTTCCATCTCGTGAAACAGGGAATTTCCCACAGGAAGCACTTGCCTCCTTTGTTGCTGCAAATGTTGGCATCTTTTTCCTTGATTGGCTTTTTGTCTTTTTTCAGAGTTACTCAGTGAGTCATATCATTCTTCCACTGTAGGCTTCTCACTCGTTGTCTTCCTTAAGTAAATGAAAGTGGTTTAAGGGTTCAACTGCTTCCACTGGTGCAGATTGTCTGCTAGTTCGTGTGCATGTGTCACCCAGGAAGTTTCCTCATTTTCCCTTCTCTCAGGATTCTCTTCTGCTGCCTCAGCATGTTGTTTCTGGACTACACTTAGCTGTTGCAGCTCCACTACTGTTGAAAAACTCTTCATTACTTTGAGGGTGGACACTTGCTGTTCCAGTGCTCTCACCTTTTCTTCTAGCAGGCCTACTAGCTTGGACTTGTTACAAGTGGATGCCATATTACTCAGGTAGGAAAATAACATTGCACTGTTGTTCAAGTCACCACCAGTGGAGAGTCTTCTCAGTCCATTTGTTCACGTAACCTTTGTGGGTCTGTGTTGGGGGGCTGTTATGAGAAATGGTGTTTTCTCCTGTCTTCACTGAAGGTTAGCAGCAGTTCTACTAGTAAATGAAAGCATGTCATGAGGAGAAAAGGTGTATGGGGAGGAACTAAGGAGAAAGAAACAGAAGAAGGGAAAAATTAGGGATCACCCCCTTTACCCCCCCTGCTGAACTCCACCACCAAACTTTTCTTTGTTCTTTGCATTCACTCACTCTCTGGAAGCTTGGCTGCTTGTATCAGGCCCTAGACGAGCTGGAGCAGCTTGTTCTGATCTGCTTTGCTCTGCTAGCAGTGAGGAACCAGGAATAAACACCCCACCCACACAGCTGCTGCCAGCTGATCAAGTCACTCCCTTTAAGTTCACCAGCCAATCAGGAACTTCCTTTTAGTTGTATCTCCCAGAGCACATGGCTTCTTAGAAAACAAGACTGTTTGCTGGGTTAGTGCTAGCCCCTCTATGCTGGTCCTCTGCCACCTCTTCCACTTTCACTATGGTTCCACCACTGAACTCCTGTTAGCTTTCCCTGCTCACTCACTATTGTCACTTGTTCCCTGGGAGCTTGGCTGCTCTTATGTGCTCTGCTCATAGTGAGGAACCATTTGGTAAAGATCTGTGAGGCAATGGAAAGACTGAAGAGTAGGACAGAAAATTCAAACACCTCAGTCATAATTTAGAACTGAAGGAAGTGACAGTAGTCCAGGTGAACAGACACGTGGAAATACACGTCTTTCAAATCGATTGATGAGATTGTGTAAAAAGACCATGCAGAACTTCTTGAGGATTAAGAAGTTAGCATCTCACAGGTCTAAGATGGGACAGAGGATGCCATCTTACTTTGGAATGGTGAAATATCCAGAGTAGAAGCCATAAAATCAGATGGGGGAACAGAACATATTACTCCTTTTGACAACAGCGTGTTGAGGAAGGTAGTGTTGAGTGTACAATCCTGAGAGGTGGCCAGGTGTCAAATTCAATTTGATACTCATTCCCCACAATGGAAAGAACCCACGGATCCTATTTAATGGTTTCTCATTTGGGAGGGTAGTTGTTAAGATGGCTTTCAAATCATATTGGTGCCAAAAGGGGTGGGCTGGCTGTGTCTCTCAGTATCCAGGTGCTTTCTTGATGGTTTGCTGGAACTAAGAGGTGCCCCAGTTTTTGCTGGGGTGGTTGGTATTTGTTGGCAGGATGGAAAGCCGAAATGGCTTCAGATGTGAAAAAAAGCCTACTTACGTGCTCTGGATGGTTGAGCCAGACCAAAGCCCATCTGCCTTGCTGAGGCTCTGGCTTCTGGATGGAGTCATGCTTCTTGTTGGTCCATGCATTAAACAATCCTTCCCCATCAAAAGGCATTTTCTTGATGCAGGACTGTGCCCCCTGAGAGGCTCACTGCCTGAAGCCAGTTATGCCCTCCAAATGGCCACTGGGCTGAGTCACCCTCAACATGGCAACGTGCAGTGTTTATTTGTTGTTTTGAGAGTCAAAGGAACTCTGTCTGGAAGAGCCTAACAAGTTCCTGATGTTGTTCAGGAAAAAAACTCAGCTAGGACACTCATCTTTTCCCAAAGAAAAACCTGGTATCTCCTCATAGTCACTTTGAAGTTGGAGATATGAATACCAAGTCCCATCACTGCAAGACTTTCTTTGGCATTGCATCAAGGCACCGTCCTTCACTGTCTGCTGGGTTGGTGTGTTCCCACTAAGATCTTCCCTCTGCTGATTGTACAATGATGGAATTCAGCTGCAGATGGCATAGGAGGAATGGAATGTCTCTCCTGAACCCAGCACAGGCTCTCCAAATGGCAAGATGTTGACTGAGGTTGTGTAAGGCCTTCCATAGTTCCTTCATGGAGTGAAGGCGCATGGGGAGGAATGGAATGGCCAGCAGAACAGAGTCCTCCATCAGGACATCATAGACTGTGTCAACCAGACTCAGCTAATTGTAGTCTCCAGTCTGAGTGACATCGCCATTTGGAGGAACTGTTTGGGGAACCATCCCAGAGGGGAATCCTAGACCTTGTGATAAGATGAAGTCACTTTGGGATGTTGACACGTTGTCACTGAAGAGCAGTAGAAGAATGGATTCAGGGGCATAATCTGTGAGCTCTGAAAAACAGCTGGATGGAGGTCTTTGTGGCGGTGCAATCTGTTGGAATGATTGGCAGACAGAGACAGGAGGATGGAAGAGCAGAACCATATTGAGGTGGCGAGCTGCTGTGACAGAGCAGTTGGGACTGGTGGCAGGGCCAGAGGAGCCAGACCAGTTCCTTCAGGTGACATGTGGATGGCTCCCACTGGCAGTTTTATTCCCAAGAATAACCAGAAAGGTATGGTCCTGTTGGTGGAAGGGCACAGTAGGCATCCTGGTATCAGGTTGGGGCAGACCTGGGCCACTCCTTGTACACAAGGAGTCAGAGCTGGTGTGATGGCCTCATGTGGTGGTCCCGTGGCTGGATAGGAGAGTGGATCTCCATAAGGAGCCGACGGATCCCAGTGAAGACAGAGGTGTTGTATTCCCCATCCCCCCTCGCCCCTTCAGAGGAGTGGAAGGTGGTTGGTTCTGATCATATCACAAGGCCTGATGGAAAAGACTGGTGGCAGAATTGGTGGTGAGACCATAGTCGTAGATATGGTAACTGGGACTGCTAGTGGAATGGGCAGCTGAATGTGCACCTAAAGTGCCAACAGCAAGCAGCATCATGCCCATTTTGAGGAATGATGGGAGCCCCTTCTATTTATGGTGGGGAGGCTCCCACCAAAAGTTGAACTTAGTTAGAAAAATCTTCCTGACTATGGGCACAGAGCCCTTATGTCTGATGCAAAGGCCATGAAGAACTCCCTTGTTCTTCCTTAAAATCTTAGTGTAAAAAAAAAAAGGAAAAACCCAGTGAAAACCTTCTCCACAATTCCCTGAGGTAGAAGAATACTACTTGAAAGAATACCAATGTGGGGACAATACTAATTTGAAATTTAATAATTCAATAATGGCTGAGAAAGCTTAAGGAAAGAATGAACTGTTAGCTTTTTCAGAATGTTCCCCAATTTATGCATCTGAAAACTCAAATCTACTAAGAAATCAGTAAAGCCTGTAGGGTTGTCCACTATATCCCATAATCAGTGTTTAAAAAAATTAATCCCAAAAAACAACCCTCCTGAATGTCAATCACAAACTTTACAAAACTATATTCTTAATAGCATTGGTATCCTTTATCAATGAAATTGCTAATGATAAAGATTTAATGCTTGCAATGTTTAAATTTCAATTATAATCAATCAAGGATTTTTAAAATTAATTCTGAATCTGAAACATTCCTTAAGAATAAAGTAACCCAAGAGGATGAGAGAACAATTGCCATACCTGCTTCAGACGCTCTTGATTTATTTTTTGGAAATAAACTTCTTGTGATGTCAGAAGTGGCATCTCCTGAGTTGCTGCTAACCCATTTCCTTCTTCCCCATTTTACCAAATTCTTTTGCTCAGGTGGATTTATGAGTTCTAAATAACTATTCTGGTTGTTATTTGAAGTGTTGGTTTGGTCGGTATTCTTTAGCATTTCTTTTTGCTTATATGATTTCAGTCTTTTTGAAGCATATTTTTTATCAGAAACAGTATTGTCTAGAATCACTATTTGATTTTTAGGGGCAATATGACTGCTTGAAGTCAATCCGCAGTTTTTGTTAGGAAAAGCAGAATTAGTTGTTTCAACCAAGCCAACTTTTCTTCTACCACTTCTTTGCTGTTTCTCATTTGTCACAATTGTCTTTTCCAAAACATTTTGTTTTTCCTGAAAAAACTCTTCAGGAAGCTTGTTTTTTCTGACAGAAGTAGCACATGCCACCATTTTATTATCTTTTCCCTCCCATTTTGTTATTTTCCCTTTTCCAAAAGCCTCACTTTCAGTAAACACACTTGGATTTTCACTGACAGTTTCACCATTGTCTGATTGTGAGGGAGGTAGGGTAATGCTTACTTTGAGAGAAGGTACTTCAGATGCAAGTACAATCCCTTCTCTCCTCTTCTTTGAATGATTCTTTTCAAAATCATGTCCCAAAGATACTATTTTATCGCTTACAGATGCATTGTTACTGTCATTTTCCAGTTGCCAATTATTTTCTGATGAAGATTTATAAAGAAATGACTGTTTTCTCCTACTTCTTTTGGATAAATTTTCTTGTGTCACAGTTTGAACTTCTTTGGGCATGTTTTCTTGGTGAACAAGCAATCTAGGTTTTTTACTGGCAGAAACTAAGCTTATGTCAATTATATCATCAGCTTTTCGTCTTCTGCTTCTATGTGGCAGAGTCTCATTTGCAGCGGTTGTTTCCAAAGGGTTTCCTGGCTGTTCTACTGTATTTTTGTCTTTAGTTGATGCTGGCAAAGATAAAACATTTCTGAGTGGAGAAAGAAGTGTGCGAGAAACAGAAGCAACCTTTCTCCTTCTGCCCCTTTTTGACTTTCTCAAAGTCAAATTCTCCCTTTCAGAGCAAGAAATTTTGAGGACCGTATTTTGGTCTTTTATATCAACTGCTTGTTTACTGTCACATTCTGTAGAGGTTTCATGAGAAATAACTTGTTTGCTTCTGCCTCTCCTGGGGGCTGGAGCTGTTGGCTCCTCTTCTGCAAGAGCAATGTTTTCCAATGGCATTTGGGATATAGGGACGCTTTTCCCTCTCCCTCTTTTTGGTTGACTCTCTTTTACAGTTACAGCTGTACTTTGGCCTTTTGTATCAGCTGCCTGCTCATTGTCACATTCTATAGATGTTTTGTGAGAAATGGCATGCTTGCTTCTGCCTCTCCTGGGGGCTGAAGCTGTAGGCTTCTTTTCTTCAAGAGCAACATTTTCCAATGGCATTTGGGATATAGTAACAATGCTTTTCCCTCTCCCTCTTTTTGGTTGACTATCTTTTACAGTTACAGCTGTACGTTGGCCTTTTGTATCAGCTGCCTGCTCATTGTCACATTCTGTAGATGTTTCATGAGAAATAACTTGTTTGCTTCTGCCTCTCCTGGGGACTGGAGCTGTTGGCTCCTCTTCTGCAAGAGCAATGTTTTCCAATGGCATTTGGGATATAGGGACAATGCTTTTCCCTCTCCCTCTTTTTGGTTGACTCTCTTTTACAGTTACAGCTATACTTTGGCCTTTTTTATCAGCTGCCTGCTTGCTGTCACATTCTATAGATGTTTCATGAGAAATGGCTTGTTTGCTTCTGCCTCTCCTGGGGGCTGAAGCTGTTGGCTCCTTTTCTTCAAGAGCAATGTTTTCCAATGGCATTTGGGATATAGGGACGCTTTTCCCTCTCCCTCTTTTTGGTTGACTCTCTTTTACAGTTACAGCTGTACTTTGGCCTTTTGTATCAGTTGCCTGCTTACTGTCACATTCTGTAGATGTTTTGTGAGAAATAGCTTGTTTACTTCTGCCACTCCCAGGTGGGTTTTCTTTTGCTACCTTTTGTCTTCTTGGTGAAATGTCTTCTGCAGCAGTTTCCACACTTTCTAATGACACTTTTTGAGTTGGCTTCTCTTCTGCAAGAAACTCTTCCAAAGGCACAAGTATTTGGAATAGAGGGACAACACTTCTCCCTCTCCTTTGTTTTGGTTGATACTGTTCTACACTTACAAGCATATTTTGATCTTTTATATCAGTTGCCTGTTTACTGTCCTGCTCTGTGTGCATTTCATGAGATACTTGTTTCTTTCTGCCTCTCTTGGATGGATTCTCATTTACTACCTGTTGTCTTCTTGCGGGAACATGCTCTAGTAGCACCTTTTGGGTTTCTTTAGGTTTCTTTTCAATTTTAATTTCTTGTATGCATTTTTCTTGGTGTTCAAAGGACAAATTTATGTCTTCACTAATCTCTAATGCATGTTTCCCTTTAGGAGAGATGCAAGCAGGTTGAGATACAACAGAGGCTCCTTTCCTCTTGCTTTGTGATGTATTTTCTTTTGCAGAGGAAACAGAACTTTCAAAAAAAGTTCTCTCTTCTTCATGAGCACCGTCCTTATCTCTAAGCTCACATTTTTCTTGAAAAGATACAGACATATGTTTCTCAAGTAGAAAATGAATTTTTTTCCCTTTTCTCCTCTTCCCTGCATTTCCTTTTATTTCTGTTAAATTGTCTTCCAAAGTTTCTAGTTTGTTTGTTTTAGATGCTGTGCATTCTTGACTTCCATATTTATACACATTAATAGTTGTAGTTAATCTTGGTGTAGGGGTAGCCTTTCCTTTTCTATTACTTTTAAATAGGATATTTCCACTGCTTTCAATGCCTGAAGTTTCAAAATCTTGGTTTTGAATTTTGTCTTTAACACCTACTTTTGTAAACTCAGATTTCAGGGCATTTTTATCTTCTACATTTCTAGATCTAAGACTTGTTTTTCTGATTAACAAAGAGTCATTTTCTTGGGTTTCTGCATTTTTTTCTGAATGCAAACTTGTTCCAGCTTGTTCAGTTCTTTTAGTTGCCATCTTTTTCCTATTTACACATGTCTGCTTTTTGACTAATGTTGCTTTTGAAGATCTTAGTAATTCTTGACTATGTACATTCTCATTTGTTTCATCAGTCTTTTTACTAGATTTTGCTTGTGAATATCTTTTTACTTCACTTCCAGCTTCTGATACATTGCTTTCAAATTTTTGTACTGGACTTATTTCAGTGATGTTCTGGTCATATTCTTCTGTGAAAGTGAATTCATTAGCCTTCATTTTCTTACTTCTTTTAGGTGAAGTCAATGGTTCACACATTTCTAAATTTACTGCATTGGGATTTGCAACTGGTTGTTTCACAAAATCAACTTTGGCTCCATTTGGAGGCTCTACTCCATTTGACTGGCAGCTTTCAGTAGATTCTGTATCAGCCAGTGTTTCTAATTCACTAAATGAGTAACAGGGGACATGTTCCAAGCTGTAATTTGGATCATTTTTACTATTATCTCTTTGTAAACTAGAAGGAGATTTTCTTGCACTTGATGCTTCCAATTTCACTTCTTCATCTTTGGACACATCTTCCCTGCATTCTAAAACACATACAAAGTTATTTCTGAAAATAAGATTATTAAAAAGGGTAAGTAAAAATGTCAAGAGAATGTTCCAGGTAGTTTCATAATTTTGCTCTGGAGAAACATTTCTATCATATGGTGTGAAATTACCATTCCTAATTATCTCAATAGCTACATCCACTACTTGCAAATAATTCCTTTTTACATATTTTTCCCAAAGCTTCATATTCCAGATTTTTCTAAATATAACGCTATTGGATTGAGTTGCAATTATTTATTGATTTTAAATATAAAAATCACCACAAATCCCTTCGTTGTCACAAATATCAGTGGTATTCAATCAGCATGACTAAAACCAATCCTACCTAAATTAAACAAACAATAAAGCAAATCTACAATTTGGCAAAATCCTTCTAAATGACCTTTTAAAAAATCAAGGTGCTTGCTTTAACCTGTAAAACCCTGCATGACTTGAGACCACAATTCCTGACATGACACCTCTCCCAACCAGCATGTACCTGGCCACTACAATCAACTACTAGGGCCTGCCTCCAACTGCCACCAGGGAGACTCAGTTGGTGGCAATTAGAACAGGCTTTTCAGCAGTGATGTCCAGTTATGGAATGAGCACCCCACAGAGGTCCATCTGCTACCAACCTTATCTTTTCAGCACCAGGTTAAGACTGCCCTCTTCTGCAGGGCATGTCATTACTTTACTGGGGCTCTGTTAGTTGTTTAATCAGATTAAATCAGGTTTTATCTTAAGTCATTGGTATTTTATATGTGCTTTAAATGTGGCTCTAAATTTTTGCGGTTTTAATGTTTTCCTACTGTTTTTATAATGTGGTATATTTTGGATTTTATTTTAATGGATTGTTGTAAACTGCCCAGAGAACTTCAGCTACAGAGCAGCACAGAAGTTAGGCAAACAAAAAGTTTGTTATTGATTACAACCCAGCCAACATGTTTTAGTTTCAGAGATAAATAGCCCTTTTGGCGTACTGAATTATTCCTAATTCAGATTACTCTCATTCTTTGTTCCTAGATAGTTATTTCATACTGGAATACATTATTATCTTCCTCAAGAGACTGAGATATTCAGACCACAATAGAGTATCTAAACAGCTGAAGTAAGAGAATTCTCCAAGTTAATGTTTGAATGCTACAATCTCATATTTACATTTACACAGAATTCTCACATTTACAACCAAATTTAAATAATCTGTTTCTACATTGCACAAATCTAGTTTTACAAATCATATTGAAGGGGTTCAGCTCTGAGTCCAGGAGGCTGTCAACATCTCATTAAGAGAGGGAGTGGTCCCTGCCCTATTAAAGGAGGCAGTAGTGAGACCACTCCCTAAAAAGGCCAGGCCTGGATCCAGGGTTACTGAATAACTAGGAGCCCATTGCTTAATCTCTCCTTTTTGGGCAAGTTGTTGGAGCAGGTGGTGGCCAGGTAGCTGCAGGCTTTCTTGAAGGATATGGATTATCTTGATCCATTCCAATCAGGCTTTAGGCCTGGGTTTGGAATGGAGCCAGCCATGGTCGCCCTGTATGATGACCTGCACAGGGAGAGGGACAGGGGGAGTACAACCCTGTTGGTTCTCCTTGACCCCTCAGTGGCCTTCAACACCATCAACCATGGTGTCACCTGGGCAGATTGACCAAGGTTGGGGGCTGGAGGCACTGCTTTGCAGTGGCTTTGCTCCTACCTGGCTGGCTGGGTCCAGACAGTAATCCTAGGGAACAGTTACTCTGCACCATGGTGGTTGCATTATGCGGTATCATGGGGCTCAGTGCTGTCCCCCATGCTCTTTAACACCTACATGAAACTACTGGGAGAGGTCATCCGGAGGTTTGGGCTGAGGACTGAGCAATATGCTGATGATACTTAGCTCTACCTCTCTTTTACATCTCACCCAGGTATCGCTGTCACCATCCTGAACTAGGGCCTGAGCTCAATCAAGGACTGAATGAGGGTCAATAAACTGAGGCGCAATCCCGACAAGATGGAGGTGTTGCTAGTAGAGGGGTCATCTGACAAACTAGAGGGCCATTGGCCTCCCCTTGATGGGGTTGCACTCCTAAGGGACACGGTCTGCAGTCTGTGGGTGCTCCTGGACCCGGGTTTGTCCCTGGAATATCAGGTGAGCTTGGTGCCCACGGGTGCTTTCCTCCACCTACAGAGAATACACCAGCTTCCAGACACAGCCTGAAAACAGTCACCCATGCACTGGTAACATCCAAAAGAGATTAGTGCAATGCACTCTGCATGGGGCTGCCCTCGAAGACGGTCCAGCAATTACAACTGGTACAGAATAGGGCCACTCAGTTGGTGATGGAAGCCCCTAGAGTGGCCCACACAACACCTATACTGAAAGATCTCCATTGGTTAGCAATTGTGGCCCAGGCCCAATTCAAGGTGCTCTTGCTGACACATAAAGCTCTGAACTTGGGATGGTACGTTCTACCACCTGTCTTCTTGACCCCTGCCCTTCCTGGCTACTTAAAGAGGCTAGTTATGGGATTGGTCCCCAAGTCCAGGAGTTATTAATGTCACACTGAGGGAGGGCCAGGTTCCAACCCCCTTGAAGGAGATGGTGATCAGGCCCATCCTGAAGAAGGCATCCCAGGATCCAGAGGTGTCTGCCAATTTCAGACTGATAGTCAATATTCCATTTCTGGGCAACGTGCTAGAGTGGGTGCTGGCAGGACAACTCCAAGCACTTTTGGATGTAACGGATTATCTAGACCCATTTCAGTCCAGCTTCAGACCCAGTTATGGTATTGAATCTGCCTTGGTCACCCTGTACAATGACCTGTGCAGGGAGAGGGACGGGGAGTGCGTCCCTGTTGGTTCTCCTGGACTTCTCAGTGGCTTTTGATACCATCAACCATGGTATCCTTCAGGATAGGCTGGCTGGGTCGGGAGGAGGCTCTGCTTGGTGTTGGTTCTGCTCCTACCTGGCTGGCCGATTCCAGAAGGAGGTGCTGGGGGACTATAGCTCTGCACCATGGCAGCTTTGCCATAGGGTCCCGCAGGGCTCTAATTTGTCCCCCATGCTTTTCTACATCTACATGAAACTGCTGGGAGAGGTCATCAGGAGGTTTGGGCTATGGAGTCATCAGTATGCTGATGACACCCATCTCTACCTCTCATTTACATCTACTTCAGGTGAGGCGGTGGCTGAACTGAACTGGTGCCTGGCCAAGGTAATGGGCTGGATGAAGGCCAATAAATTGACTCTTAATCCAGATAAGACGGAAGTCTTGTTGGTGGGTGGTGCAGGCTTCCGGGTAGGTGATTTTGACCCAGTCCTGGATAGGGTAGCACTCCATATAAAGGACAGGGTCTGCAGCTTGGGAGTACTCCTTGACCTGGAAATCCAGGTAGCAGCGGTGGCAAGGAGTACTTTTCTACAACTTTGACTGGTCTATCAGCTGCGTCCTTACCTGGATGAGCACTCCCTAGCAACAGTGATACATGCTCTGGTAACCTCCCGCTTGGATTATTCTAACACACTCTACGTGGGGCTGCCCTTGAAGTCAGCTGATGCCCTTGAAGACAGTCAGCTGATACTTCAGCGGATGCAAAATAGAGCTGCCAGGCTGCTGATGGGGACCAGCTGTTATTCTTGCACGACACCGGTCCTCTATCAGCTCCACTGCCTTCCAGTTGAAGTCCGGGCCCAATTCAAGGTGCTGGTCTTGACCTATAAAGCCCTAAACGGCTTGGGACCAGGATACATGAAGGAACACCTCCTTCCTTATATGCTCTCACACCCCTTAAGATCTGTGGGAGAAGCCCTGCTCCAGGAACCCTCTCTAAAAGAGGTAAAAAGGCCATCAACTTGGAGTAGGGCTTTCTCTGCACGGGTGCCCATACTCTGGAATGTGTTGAGCTTATACTCTTTTCAGTGCCAGGTCGAAACCTTTTTATTTAAGTGCCATTTTAAAAGTTAATACTTTTATGATTCTACCAGTTGCTTTTGCTTTGTTCTGATTTAATGTATTTGATGTTTATTTATTGTTCCATATGGTATTACTGTTTTAATTTTGTGGATGATTTTATTAGATGTTTTTAAATTGTTTTTAAATTGCTGTAAGCCTTCCTGAGATATTTATATAAAGGAGGACATACAAAAGCTTTGAATGAATGAATGAATGAATGAATGAATGGCTTAGGCCCCAGTTTTGTTAGGGAGCACCTGCACCCATATGTACCTTGTTTTGTATTTCTGCCTGTATTTTATTGATGTTCTATTTTTAATATGATGCAATTGGTTTTTATTATATTTTTAAATATGATTGTGAGCCTCCCAAAGATGCTGTGGTACAATTGGCTGGCATACGAATGTTTTAAATAGATAATACAAGGCAGCTACACATATCACCCCATACAAACATTCAAACTTATATATGCTTCAAACATCAAGCAAGTGGCACCAAGATAATCAAGATTCCTTACTGTTATCTTCATAGGGCAGTTATATTAAAAGAAAAACAAGTAACTTGAATTTTGTACCCACAAAACTTTCTTGATTTCATAGCCCAGTCTCTGTATCTATGTGTACAAGTAGAGCATCCAGTTAAACAGTATGCATAAGTGTGAGGCTAAGGAGTCTTTATCACTATTGAAGGAGAACCAGGAATCACAATTTTATTTTTTACTTTATTATGTTTTTCTAAATGATACTTGTGTTCAAACATGAAATTCTAAAGCTGCTGTGAAAATGTCTACCTGTAATTGTAGTTACTTGTGTACAATTCTATGGGAATGTCTATAAACCTCAAACTCGGAACCTTCTAGGCATCCAGTGCAGAGTGGGATGAGTGGTAAAAGCAGTCTTTGCCTCCTGCACTAGTTCTTTTTTCAGATGCCAGCAACATCATTTTAGAGAGAAGGAAGGAAGCTGGAGCAACTTCAAGAAATGTCATATCATAGCAGCCAATCTCTTTTCACCTGCTCCCTGTCTACTTTCCCCCTTCTCTGGGTTGCTTTTTTATTTACCTTAGAAAACAGCTGGTGAAGTTCTTTCCACACTGGCTATGAAGTGGTGAAGGAACAGGATTAATATCGGAAGCTTGAACTATCCTATGGCCCCTCAGAATTGTTCCCTTAGTCTTTCTGAAAGAATATTGTAAATCAGGTATTTTACACATACCTAGTTCATTTCCTGAATTCAAACAAGATCCATTATCTTCTTCCATGAGATTCACCAATCGTGGTAATTCATCCTAGAAATATTGCATAGTTATTAGAATAACTGAGATAACACTGAAAAATAATTTAATTTTCTAGGTCAGTACAATCAGACCTCTACATTCACAGGGGTTAAGGGAGCAGGACTCCTGTGAAAGTGAAAAAGTGATAATGTCTAAGCTCCCCACACACCTTAGTTCTGAAACCTAGTCAGCTTCTAGGTGCTGGCAGAGGTGAAATGCCCAGCTTTACCTCTCATTCTCCACTAATCCAGGTGAGGCAGTGGCTGTGCTGAACCGGTGCTTGGCCGAGGTAAGGGAATGGATGAGGGCCAATAAACTGAAACTCAACCCAGACAAGACGGAGGTCCTGTTGGTTGGCGGATCGGGTTTCAGAGAGGGTGGATTTGACCTGGTCCTGAATGGTGCAACACTCCCTCTTAGGGATAAGGTCCGCAGCTTAGGAGTACTCCTCGACCCGGAGCTTTCTTTGGAAGCTCAGGTGACAGCGGTAGCAAGGAACGCCTTCCTTCAGCTTCGGCTGATTAATCAGCTGCGCCCCTACCTGGAATACGACTGCCTGGCGACGGTGACACACGCGCTGATGACTTCCCGCCTAGACTTCTGTAACGCGCTTTACGTGGGGCTTCCCCTGAAGACAGTCCGAACACTTCAATTGGTGCAAAATAGAGCTGCCAGGTTGCTGACAGGGACAGGGCGTTATGCTCACATGACTCCAGTCCTCCATCAGCTTCACTGGCTTCCCATTGAAGCCCGGGCCCAATTCAAGGTGTTGATTATGACCTACAAAGCCCTAAACGGCTTGGGTCCTGGCTACCTGAACGAGCGCTTACGTCCGTATATGCCCGACCGCCCTTTGAGATCTGCGGGAGAGTCCCTTCTCCGGGAACCCTCCATGAAAGAAATTAGGAGAGTAAGTACCCGGAGGAGGGCTTTCTCTGCGGTGGCGCCCAACCTATGGAATTCACTCCCCAAAGAGGTCCGCCTGGCACCGTCGTTACTGGTTTTTCGGTGCCAGGTAAAGACCTTTTTATTTAAACATCATTTCAATTGTTAAAACATATGATCTGGCCTGGGCAACTTCTTCTTCCTTCTCTTTCTCCTCCTATATTTTTATTTTATACTGATAATTTTAATTTTGTATTTGTAAATCAATGTATTTTTTGTATTGTTATATTTTATGGTAATTTATTATGTACTATTGTATTTCAATGTATTTTATCATGTTGTAAGCCGCCCCGAGGTTTCGGCAAGGGGCGGCATAGAAATGTTATAATAATAATAATGATAAAAAAATGCCCATCCAACCCATCCCTGCAAGGGAGGGCCAGGCAACACTCACCACAGCTGGGGCAATCCACAGGAAGGGCCTGGCGTGTGCCCAGTCACACCTCCCAGTGGGGATGCAGGTGCCTCCTCCAGACATGGCTCACACCCAGCCCCACTTCATGCCCTAGCCCTCCAAAATAAATCCCATTTGATTATTTGTGGAAAAAAGCAGGTTGCTTACTTGTAACTGATGTTTTTTGAGTGGCCATCTGTGCAGTCACACATAAGGGTCCTGTACCTGTGCAGTGCCTTTGGCCGGAAGATTGAAATCTAATCTCTTTATAATTGGTTGAGAGAAGATGGGTCAACTAAGCCATGGTAATAGGCAATTGTGGCCGTGTACACTTCAATGGAAGACGGTTCCAGTCCAGACTGGTGTAGTTCTAATAGGAACTGAAGGATTTGATGTATAGACACAGCATGTGGAGAAAACAAACGAGACTCAGCAAAGGTAGAAAATTGTCGCCATTTAGCTGCATATGACTTCCGCGTAGACGGCTTTAACGCAGAATCAAGGATGTATTGGATATCTGGGTGAAAGGCTCTTGGATCCGATGGGACACTGGTTGGACCCGATGATGTGGGGGAAACGAGTGAAGACGAAGCGCAGAACAACGTATCAGATCCGGAGACAGGATCCGAGCCACTTATAGATGCTGTCGGTACCGATACCCCGTTAAGAGTTATCGGATTCTCCATGCTGTTAATTTCAGCGATGTTAAATCTGGATGGCAAAGTGTGCCCTCTCGTTGGGTTATGAGGTACAGAAGCAGTGGAAGATGGAGATATTCTCCGCGGAAGATGTGGAGAAGCGTAGAAAACCAGGCTTGACGTGGCCACCAAGGGGTAATCAATAACCCTGTGGCCCGATCGTGTATTATCTTCTCTATTACTCTCATAATGAATGGAACTGGGGGAAAGGCGTAAAAATTCAGGTCGCTCCAAGGGATCATGAAGGCATCCCCTAGGGATCCGTGCCTGATTCCCGCTCTCGAACAGAAAGTGTCGCACACCTTGTTCTGATGGGTGGCGAATAAGTCCACGTTGGAAAAACCCCAGCGACGGAAGAGATGGTCGTGTGTCCGGGGATCTAGTTCCCATTCGTGAGATATGAGCATGCATCTGCTCAGAAGATCCGCTTCCATATTGTCCGTACCAGCGAGATGAACTGCCATCAGAGTAATGTCCCTCGAGATGCACCATTCCCAGATTTTCATCGCGAGTCTGGCCACAGTCGGTGACTTTGTTCCACCTTGCTTGTTCAGATAAAAAATGGCAGCTATGTTGTCTGAGGTTATCTGAATGACCCGATGTCAGAGAACATCTTCGAAGGAATGCAGGGCTTTGAATACAGCCAGGAGCTCCAAGAAATTGATATGATTCCTGGATTCTTGACGATTCCACGTGCCCTGAGTGCATAGGTTGGAGCATAGTGCTCCCCATCCTAGTAGGGATGCATCGGTACCAAGGGTTACTGAAGGGCATTTGGATCTGAATGGAACCCCCATGGTTAGGTTGGCTGGAACCGACCACCAGAGCAGAGAATGGAGCACAGAAGATGGAATTTGAATCATCTTTGTTGGCAGATCTCTCTGTGGTCAGAACATTCTGTTGAACAGAAGTAGTAGAGGACGAAGGTGAAGTCTGGCGTGTGGGACCACAGCAACTGATGCACCCATATGGCCCAGAAGTCTCTGGATGGACCATGCCGGAACAGTCATGTCTCGTCGCATTCGATGGATGTGGCAAGCAAGAGTTTGTCCCGAGGAAGGAAGGCTTTCACCACTGTAGAATCCAAACAGGCTCCGATGAAAGTGATCGTCTGTACCGGGAGAAGAGAAGATTTCTCGGTATTAATGCATAGTCCCAGATGGTCTAATAGGGCACAGGTTGTACGTATGGACGCAGTAAGTCCAACCTTGGATTGTAACACCAGCAACCAGTCATCAAGGGTAAATTTGTACCTCCTGGAGCCATAGAAAAGCGCAGACAGGAGCCATACATTTGGTGAACACTCTCAGAGCAGTAGCCAGTCCGAAAGGCAAAACTGTGAATTTGAATAGTTGGGATGCAACAGCAAAACGAAGGAAGCGCCTATGACATGGGTGAATGGAAATATGAAAATAAGCGTCCTTCAAGTCCAATGAGGTGAACCAATCCTCTTTCCTCAGCAATGGTAGAATATTTTGAAGGGTGGTCATTCGGAACTTTTTTGTTGTGATAAACTGATTAAGATTGCGTAAGTCCAAGATAGGACGCAGACACCACCCCGCTTCGGGACTGTAAAATATCTGGAATAGAATCCATGAAGTCCGTCAGCCAGTCACTTGACGAATCGCTCCTTTACGAAGAAGTTGTTGGACCTCATCAAGCAATACTGGTGAGCATGGAGTAAACCGGATCGGGCTCGATGGAGGAACAATGTCAAATTCTATCCGATAGCTGTGCTGTATGATGGACAATACTCACCGATCAGATGTGATGGACTCCCAAATGGGGAGTTGGCTTCTCAGCCGGTCCCCAGATGAGAGGGGGTGGGGATGGTAGGAATTAGAGGAGTGGTTCGCGTGTCCTGTCAACACTGCGTCCTATCGCCGTCGAAATGACGACGGACTTGCTGGTACTGTTGTGGAGGCTGTTGACGGCGGCGTTGCTGTTGCTGGTGTTGGGGCTGCTGTCTGGCTGGTACGACTGCCTGTAGGAAGGACGAGTCCATGACCACTTACGTCTGGTCTGAGGCTGGAGTTCCATCCGCCTGGCCGTCATACAGGACTCGTGTATTTTCTTGAGCTTGTGGTCGGTTCTTGAGTGGAAAAGCCCGGACCCGTCAAAAGGCATTTCCTCTATCCACATCTTCGTCTCCTCTGGAAAGTTACAGTTGCGTAAACAGGCATGCCTCTGGAGGGAGACGGCACCGACCAAGGCCCTCGAGTCCGAGTCCACATGATGTCGAGCAGTGGACAACTGTTGGACAGCAACTTGCACTGCCTCCTTTATGAAGACCTTAGCTAGGTCACCTTGGTTGTCTGGAAGGTCCAAGGCAATGTTGTGGAGGCGCTGCATAATGAAGTATTGGTATCTCGCTAGCGTCACCTTGTGGTTGGAAATTCTCAGCCCTAGGCCAGAGACAGCGTACACTCGCCTGGCCAGGGAATCGATCTTCCTTCCCTCTTTGTCTCTCGGAGCGGTGTGACCTCTCGCCTCTCTGCCCTGGGAGGACTCCACCACGACCGAGTTCAGTCTGTGGTTCCGGAGGAGGAAGGGTATGTCCTCCTCCCGAACCCGGTAAATGGATTCGTACCTCCGCGAAGTCGGCTGGGGTTGGGCGGGCAGGTCCCACGGTTGAGTCATGGCCTGTTGCAACGTGGTAATCAGTGGCAGCACAATAGATGTAGATTGCTCCCCATGGACGTCGTAGAACTTGTCCATACTGGGTCCTGGTCGCTGTACGGCATTTATCTCGAGGGACTGGACAAGGTGTGACATCAATTCTGCGACGGAGATATTGGATTCGTAGGGTGATGCGGGTCCCTGAGAGGTCACAGTGGCATCCAGGGAGGTGGAATCGACCTCAGAACCGTCAGATTCTACACCGTAGTACGGAGGAGCCGATGATGAGAACTCCACCAGAGAGAAGGACTGACTACTTTCCTCCGTAGGTGGTACCGGGGATGCACACCTCGGGG